TACGAATGCGTAAACTCACAAACATGTTATATATAATTAAAATAACACTATTCTAAATGTTAATACTAACATCAAATTATATCATTTATTTAATATTATTTGAGAAAAATTATTAGAATGTTAAAAACCAAGCGTTCATAAAACTCATTAAACATAAAGTCGCAACCTTATTGTCCACGAGTGCATGTAGTGAAATGAATTAAAAAACAGACTCATTAATCGTGGGCACATTAATAAAGGGCATACAAATATATGGACAGGCACAGTAATAGGGGGGCCCTTAATATGGCCATCGCGCCGTGGAGGGGCACACTAATAGGGACAAAAACATTGTTTTTATTTTTGTTAAAATATATTAAAATATTAATATTTTTTACATAAAAAAAATTTCATAAGAAAAAGAAATATTTGAAAAATCGATAGTAACTTTAAACAGACAAATTGAAAGCTACAGTATTTAGTAATTAATTCAGTAATAAACAAATTTTCTTAAAGGCACACTAATAGGGACACTTACTCTATTCGATTTCAAATCTTACAGATTTGAAAGCGAACTCGAATCGAATCTATCTGTGATTCGATTCGATTTGATTTGAATTCGAACTATTCGCACACCTCTAATTTTAATGTCGAAGCTTTTAATGTCGATTTACTTCGAAATGTCAAAGCCTTCGAAGTAAATCACCAGCCCTACTTTAAATATTTCCTCTAAACTTTCATCCACACCGATTTACATTTTCAATATAACATTTCGTCATTTTTAACCGCAATAAAATAACGATGTAATAATCGACGAGAGGGATTAATTAATACCTCGAGCACAGTTCACGATCCAACTGCTTCGTCGTGTAGATCCAACCGGTCTCCGCGTTCACGGTGATGGGGAAGTTCTCCGTGGAGGCGCCGGTGAAATCGCGCGCGCCGATGGTGTACCTGATGAGCGCGTTCTTACCCTCGTCGGCGTCGTACGCTTGCACCCGCAGGACCGAGTATCCCAGCGGCACGTTTTCCGACACCGACTCCTGGAAGTGGCTGGTGTAGAACCTCGGCGCGTTGTCGTTCACGTCCCTGACCATCACGAGCAGCTGGGTGGTGTTGGAACGCGCCGGCGAGCCGCCGTCCTGGGCGCGTATGACGATCTTGTAGCTCCTGGTGGACTCGTAGTCGAGCGGCTTGACCAGGGTCACGTAGCCGTTCATCGAGTCGATCGAGAAGGTGTTCTGCGTGTTGCCGCCGATGATGGCGTAGCGGACGACCGCGTTGGCGCCGGCGTCCGCGTCCGTCGCCTGGATGTGAGCTATCACCGGGTTGGTCGTGTAGTCCAGGTCCTCCGGCACGGCCGCCGAGTACGTGCGCTCGGTGAACTGCGGGTAGTTGTCGTTGTCGTCCAGCACACGTACCACCAGGGTGGCGTTCGCGCTGCGTCGCGCCGACGGTGGTGTTGCTTGATCCGTAACGCTGAGAATCACCGTGTAAATCTCAGTTTGCTCGCGGTCGAGCGCAGTTCGCGTGGTGACCACACCGGATCTGAGAAACACAACGCATTATCGTATATAAGAAAATAACATGTAAGAATCATGCGAAAGAGTGACCCAAAAAATCGCTCGTTTTTCTGGACCCTCGATTTTGAGACTGAACTGTGTGCCAAATGATACCTTATAATGAGACATTAAGGGGATCCTAAACCCGAGATCGAATTCCAAAAATTCGCTGTTTTATCGACGATTTGTGAGTATGTATGCGTGCGATATTGATGTAGTAGTGTGTAGTGATGTGTTCATATTTACTACCATATCGATATCTCACGCACACATCGTAACAAATTTTCAAGAACATACAGCTTTTTTATTAGGCATCCAAGCTTAATTTTATCAACTCAATATTGTTTGCACATGTAATTCGTAGTTCCGGCTGGTATCATTTTGTACCA